TTTCATATGGAAAGAGTGTGTGTTCAGCGCTTTGATCGGATGACGCGCAGAGGATCCCGTCTATGGAAGGTCGCTCTTTCGCCGTTTATTTTGTTATTCATTATTCGATTGTTTTCATGGTTCATGCTGTGTAATTGTCCGTAAGCCTTTTACATTTGCTAAATCGTGTACAATATTTTATGCCGTTTTTGAGCGACCTTGCAGGTCTTCATTTAACTACATATGTCTTCTCGCAACATTAGATGCTTTTTTATTTGGCTTCCAGTTTTATTACAATTTAAAGGTCTATCAAACTTTTCGAATGAGACAAAACCGAAACTGGTGAATAACTGAATACGGGCAATTGTTTGAGATATTTTCTTAACCCTCGCCCATGTAGTTGGTGCACCCCCCCCCCCCTGAGGTTTTTCTTAGCTACACGCCGAACCGTTTCAGATAGCCTGCTCAAATTTTCAGTACCCTATGGGGCATCCTTTGCACAACTTTTAGTATTTTTTTTGTCAAGGTCATGTCAGGTCACGGAGGTATGACGTCATAAAGGGAACAACCTCCGGCCAGATTTACGCTAAATTGGAGATTGCTTCACATTGGTATAAATGCCGACTGACCTGACACACTGATGGATTGTTTTAGAATCATAACTGGCTGATTTGACATTGACACAATGTCCGTTGACATTTTGAAGGTTACTAAAGGTCAAGGTAAGGTCAGTGACCTCGGTTGACCTGTAATGACTTTTTGCACTTTTATGCCTTTTCGGGGTATTTTGATGCCCTGAATTCGAATTTGATATCCATTTCAGGCATCGTCGGTTGTTTCTTGTAGTTCATTTTGGGTCAGGGTCAGGTCAGTGACGTCACACGCCTGACGTGACCCAATGCACAAATGACCTTGCAGACTTCCGATGCTCCCAACGCATCATTTTTAGAGTTATGACATCGAAATACACACCAAACGACAGAGAATTGATCAAGAATCACGATAGTGAAGTTTTCAAGTCGATATCTCTCACCGTTTTGCCGCAATCGGCGCGGAACTCTGAAAAAGTTAGATTTTTCCGAAAATTTGACCTTTGACCGGTCATAAGTAGGTCAAATGTTGACCTAGGACCAAAAAATATACCACCAATCGCGAGATCTCGTTGAGAGCAATCCGTTGGTCTTTTCCGCTAAGCTCTACGACGCTCCGTTTTCAAACGCCAAGGGGGGTCGCACCCCCCCCCTTGCATGGGCGAAGGTGGCAAAACACCGTTTACGGGCGAGAGTTAAAACAATTCACTTCCATTTAAATAATTCAATTATCTACCAATTTTTAGTACCACATATCGGAATCTGTTGGCGCTTGAACAATTCTGAAAATAGGTACAGCTTAGCAATATCATAAAATATCATCAAATGCAAAATATCTTTTGATATGAAACTTAACAGATGTGTCCCCTTCCACAAAGCTATGCTGAAAAGAAGTCCGTATTTCATAGCGACGGCGACCGTCCACGGCACAGACGGGGAAGGAAACCGGTAGGCGGGGACGGAAACCGACCGTCCCATGCAGCTCAAAACTCAGCGAGAAGTTAGTTTTGCTTGATTGGTGCTACCTATAGGTACTTTAATGAAAAACAATATCAAATTCTTATCTGTATTCAATGTAAACGCGTTTCGATTATTTCTTTATCAATACATTGATACAATACAGATAATGAAAACACAATGCAGATAATGATAATGAAAACACAATACAGATAATGATAAAGAAATAATCGAAACGCGTTTACATTGAATACAGATAAGAATTTGATATTGTTTTTCATTAAAGTAAACATTTGTCAAAATGAACAATATACCTATAGGTACTTAATTTACAACCGAGCCTCCAAAAATGCGAAAACCATGCTGCTAGACCGGAGGTTGACGAGGGCCGAGAATATTGCGCGCGCAGCACAGACTGTAAAATTCGCACGTGACGCGAAACATTAAGATGTCATCAGCGATGAGACCAATCAGACTTGGAAAGTCCAAGCAAAGAATCTAGATGCAATATCTGCTGATCGGCAATGCGGCCGCAAAAGTATCGACATACATAAGAGTAGTTATCACTAATGCGAACTCCAAGACACCTCACCTCCAGTGCTGTCAGGAAGCGCCGCGCTCAGCCCACGGCTCAGTGGCTGACTGCTCTCGGCGGCGCTGCGAGCGCGAATGACCCGGGCTCGGGTCATGTGGACCTGACGAGCGGGCGGTATGACGCAATGCTCGGGGTTACTTGAGCAGAGTTAATACGCATTACAAACGGACTACAATGTTGAGCGAATAGGAAAATCCGTTCCTGATACGCATTTACTTGCTCATGTAACCCCGGTATATCACATGGGCGGCGCTCGCCCAAACCGCGGAGAAAAAAAAAAAACATTATCAGTTAACTTATAATGTTACATTTAGATATGAAACTTAACAGATGTGTCCCCTTCCACAAAACTATTCTAAAAAGAAGTCCGTATTTCATAGCGACTGTCGCTAAAAACGGGACGGGAATGTCTCCTGCCGCGAGCGGCATCGGTCAGGTTGGAGGGGATGAACGGACGGGGGTGTCGGAGCAGGAAGGGGCAACCGGGGACACACACACTGTCGTACTAAGGTCAGGGTGTCTGAATGGCTTTGAGATTGCATTGATAGTCATCATCAATCATTCACCATCAGCATTCGTCGTCATCATTGACATCATCATCTAAGCGCCGATGACCTTCACAGTCTGGCCACTCCAAAAATCTCAAACCATCATCAAAATGGCATAATCAAAAGTACGTTTTTGGGTGGCACTGTGACTGTTGCGCGATACCATGTGACTCTTTGACTGCAGCCTGTATGCACGATGTCACCTTGTGGCACTGTGACTGCCAGCAGCACACTGCCTGGGGTAACACACTGTGTTACCCAGGCAGTGTGCTGTGTTACTTACAGTCGCTGCTGTGTTACTAACACAGCAGCGACTGTCACTGTGTCCATGTAACACTGCGGCGGTGTGGCTGTCTGTCCGTCCCAGTGACCCCCGTTCTTTGGGCGCCGGACGGCATGTCACACTGTCACAGAGCGGTGGCTCCGAGGGCTCCGAGCGACGTGTGTGGTCCAGGAGACGGCTGACGGAGAGGAAGGGAGGAGAGAGAGAGAGAGAGAGAGAGAGAGAGAGAGAGAGAGAGAGAGAGAGAGAGAGAGAGAGAGAGAGAGAGAGAGAGAGAGAGAGAGAGAGAGAAAGAGAGAAAGAGGAGTCGGGGTGGCCGTCTCTCCCTCCACGCTGCATGAGTGATCACATCCCGAGCACAAGTCGCAAGCACAGTCCTGCAGTGACATCAGTCGCTCCACCGGTTCCGTCTCGTCCTGCATGTTGTGTCTTATATTGCGCCGCCCCACACCATGTGCCGTGCTGTGCCGTGCTTGATATGTTGTGTGCTGTGCTGTTCTGTGACGTGACGTGATGTGTCGAAGTGTCGTGAATTGCCGCGTTGTGTTGTGCCGCGTATGTCGTGTGCTGCTGCCGTGCCGTGGCGTGCCGTACCGAAACGGTTCATGTGCCGTCCTGTGCCGTGCCGGTCTGTGTCGTGTGCCGCGCTGTCCTTGCCTTGTTGTGTAATTTTCTGTGCATCTACTGACACAAATAATAAGGAAATATAATCTGATGTAATAATAATATGCTGAACAGAAATTATTAGTTTAAAGCAATTACAAAGAAGTTGCTAGGTCATAGTTCACCCACTTTTAAGACTTGGTGTTATTTCTAGAAATTATATAATGCTTTATTTGGATAAATCTGAAAACTCACAGACCTGGAATAAAGTCGCGTGGCGCGGCTGGCATTGCCGGTAAACACAGAGCGTACACAGACCACAAAAACAGTGTGTGTCGCGCTCGCTCGCGCGCCCCTCAGAGCACCGCGTCTGTGTCGGGGCACGTCTGCTATGTGTCGGTCGGCCGGCGCAGGTGATGGCCGGCTCCTCGAGCTGCTCAGTCGTGCGCCAAAAAACCGCCGCCCTCCGCGACTGTCGCCGGTCGCGACGGGCGCGTGGGAGGGAGAGAGGGATGGGAGGGGAGAGAAGAGGGATGGGAGGATTGGCAGGGAGAGGCTGGTGGGTGAGACAGCCAGATTTGGTAGAGCCCCTGACTGCACTGCTGAATGATTTTCGAGTTGCCTATACCGTGCGTGTGGTCCTGTCAACGACTCTACAACTGCAGCTAAACTTGACAACTCCTCCACACAAACGTTCACCCCCCAGAAACAGGAAGACCTCTGGGTTTTCCATTAGCGGCTGGGGCTAAAATTGATGCGCCTGGTGTCTGGCAGCGGCCGGTCCAAAAAGCGGTCGGTCCAGCCTCCCGCGCGGAGACAGAACCGGCCGGTGGGCGGACCGAACCAGCGACGGCACCGGCGACCGAACCGGCCGGTTCGGAATGTGACGCGCACCGCGATCGGCATCTATCGGCAGATTTCCGCGTGTGAAACGCTAAGGCCATCTTTCACTGCGATCGTGTAAGATGACACCTGTACACGGTAAAATGTGCGGTGGGTGACGCGCTGATTCGTTAGCGACGGCAGCCGGTGACGCCGCGGTCAGATAACGCAGACAGCTGGAAGCTGACCTGCCACCGGCCGGTGACGGTGGTGTCACCGCGGCTGATCGCGGTGGTGGGCGGGAGGGCGGCAGCGATGGTGACGATGTGCTGTTGTTTTGGCTGCACTTGTGAATGGTGATGCCCGGTGAAACGGGGCGTTTTTTTAAGTACAAAGATGATTCTACCATTTCTACCATTGTGCCCTATGACCTCAGACCTGTGTGAATGTGCCCTGTGACTTGTCTCACTATGACCTGTCTGCGCCGTGTCCCATCGGACTATGCCCTGGGACCTGTCTGACTGTGACCTGTTCTGGCTGTGTCCTGTGACCTTTGACCTGTCTAACCTGGCCCCTATCGACATTTTTCTCTTAACACTAACCCGTCCTTGTGACCCCCACAGCTACTGGACCTGGACTCGGACTCAGGCAGCCAGGGCTGGCAGGCGCCGCTCAGCTACTGTGACGCCTGCGAGGGCTGCCTCGGTCCCGACGAGCCCAGTGTGGAGGCGGGAGGCCGCCGGTGGCACCCCTCCTGCCTCACGTGCTGGGTGTGCGGCCTGCCGCCCGACCAGCGCTGCTTCATCACACGACTCGGACACGTCCTCTGCATCGACGACTTCAACAGGTCAGTGTTCCGGCCCGGAAAAGTCACCATGACTTGTTGACTATGGGGGAGCACCTTGCCTTGTGCTGCTGGCTTTGCAAAGTGCCGTTAGGGATTAGGGACTGCGATGTTACGGAGGTGACGGTTTGGCTATGCAGTGGTCAGGTAAAGGCTACGTGCTCTGTGATTGGAAGGAAAATGATTGTTCTGCCAAAATGACACGTGGGACGAAAGACAATGTTTAGGTAAGCGAGATAACGAGAGATCAGCGGTAAAAATTAAGGAAAAACGTGAGGAAAGCTCGCGCGAATACTCAGCCTGTCAGACGCCACTGTGCACTGTAGAAAAGCTATATTTAGCGTCAGGGGCGTCGCCGACGGGGGGGTCGGGGGGGTCGTGACCCCCCCACTCTTGAAAACTGGGGGTGTCGACCCCCCCACTTTTTGCGATGCTGAGTATGCTTTTTTAGCTTTTATGTCAGTGAAGCAGGCGTCAGCAACACCAACAAATACATCAGATTCAAAATCGCTTCAAGAGCTCCCTAAAGCCAATTAGCCAATTACCTAAAGGTCAATTAGCTGTGGGCGGGGAACACCAGCACAACAATGTTTTTAAGTAGCCCCCATCCTAGTATACCTTTTTATCCCTCAAAGGATTGGGCGCGCCAAAACTGCCCCGAGCGTTCGTCTGATCGTTTAAAAAAAAATGGTCGCAGTCGATTCGTCGGATCAGTACCTAACTACAAAACTACAAACTAGCCTCAGCCCCATGGCTACCGTCACAACTAGCTGTACAGTGCACATGTAGGGGAAAGGGAGTCAGATGGAACCGTCTCGGGCTTTCGCAAAGAAGTCGCGCAAAAAGGAGCCGATTGCAACAAAACTTCCGGTGCGCTCGAGTTAATCACCTACTTAAAATAAATCGATATCCCTGATTCAAATAAAGATGACCTTAGTTCACTTTTTCATAACATGCTTTTAATTGATAGGGTAGTTTTTGGAGCTGATTTTGAACTTAGCGCCCATCTGAACATTTAAGAAGTAGTTGTGTTGCTTATTCATATAACATGCTAGGAAGCAATCGGTGGTGGTCATCCACTATTAGGTACTGGTCGTTCTGACCTGACCTGATCTACCCCAAATGCATGGAGTCATCATCTTCGTTCAAAACTAAGATAACATTCGTAATCAGAACCTCGAAAAACCATCACAACTTACATTCGTTAAGTTCTAGCAGGTCCCGAGTTTCTCTACTTATTGGCGATGACCTGAGTCCTGAGATGACCCGAAAACTTGTAAATGGGTACCATCGGCTTTCTCTCGTCACGGGCAGCATGCTCTTTTTTCCGCAAACCTGTAGATCGATCAGGGGTCGAAAGCATGCCTCAGCGTTAGTTTAGTATACGTTAAATACGTTAGCGACTGGGAAACCACCAATAGAAGGGCTACAGTGAAGCAGAAAACTATTCGATAGCTCTTTTAACGCTCTTTCGCTAGCTTCGCGTTAGATTTCATCTCAGGTCTATGTTTGGCCCATAAGAAGGCAAACAGCTAACTGGACAGATTCTGCCGAAACATCTGCTTTGCAATAACTTTCGATTCCGTGAATTTGTATGGTATGTACGTATGTTGTCTTGTCACCACCGTCTTGATCTCTTTGAGACGCGTCACATGAGTTAAAATTTGACCATTCAGAATTAACGTTAAAACGACCTCAGGTCAACGTTATGTCCTGATCGAAAAAGGACCTCCTGCTGCATATGAATGGATCCGTGTTGTTGAGCTGAACAGTGAACACCTTCCAGGTGCTGTCATCGCTCTACCGCGTCTTCGTCAAAAGTTGTAGAAAAAAATGCTGGTGGCCATCGATGGACATTTCCACTAATGTTCTTTCGAGTCATCACTCGCCATAAGTTGCACCCTGTCCCTGGGCAATGAATGAGCTGATTTGTCATGGCTCCAAAGATATTTTGCGTTTCTGACGAACTTTTTCAAAGCAGGAGGCATTCGTGCTTTTTCTAATTTCTCATTATTTTCTAATGATGAGGTCACGTATTTGACCTGCCTTCAGATCATAGATGTAAATCCTCAGTTAGAATCATGAATTGCTGACACGTATAACCCCATACATTAGGTACCTATACAGTGTACCAAATTTCGAAGTTATGGGAGAAAAGCTACAAGAATGGCGAGAGGGGAAACTCAGGACAGTTTTTATATAGAGGTATACCGTATAACTGAACTTGACATGACGACCTGACCTTAAGTGACCAGTGATAATTTTTACGCAAGTGATGTAGGTAGGTATACCTACCTAATAGGTTATACCAAATTTGGCGGCGCTGCGCGCCGATTTGTTACACACGCACACACACACATACGCACGCACAAAACTGGGAAGTGTGGCAAAAAAAAACACCCCTACCCATCGGGTGAAGACTAGAAACCCGACCCCCCCACTCAAAAATCCGTGGCGACGCCCCTGTTTAGCGTAGATATATCGAGATGTGAAACAACTGTGTAACGAGAGCCGGAATAACAACGGAGCGGAAGCGACAGTGCCAGAAACACAAACTATTTTAGATAAAAGATAGAAACGGGCTTACAGAAAACAACGAAATAATTACGCCAATTAAAGCACAATAAACTTATTTTAGAACGCAAGTAACATTATATAATCTTAAGACAATAGCGAAGATAATACGATTTAAATATAACTAGAGGTACAGGTTTACGCGATAACTGTATGTTTTGATATGTATGATAAACGGATGCATTAGTTTGGGTGTAGAAACTTGCATTTTTATTGGTATTATTTGTGTAGAACTGGGTAACTGCTTTTAATTGAACTATAAAGTATGATGGTGATGCATGCGAGTTGTTCGAGCCCTTAATAAGTTAGGATGTTACTCAATTCAACCCTACCCTACCCTACCCTACCCCTACCCCTAACCTACCCTACCCTACCCTACCCTACCCCTACCCTACCCTACCCTACCCTACCCTGCCCCTACCTCTACCCCTACACTACCCTACCTTACCATACCCTACCCTACCCTACCCTACCCTTACACTACCCTACCCTACCCTACCCTACCCTACCCCTACCCTACTGTATCCTACCCTACCCTACCCCTACACTACCCTACCCTACCCTACCCTACCCTACCCTACCCTACCCTACCCTACCCTACCCTACCCTACCCTACCCTACCCTACCATACCCTACCCTACCTACCCCTACCCCTACTCCTACCCTACCCTACCCTACTCCTAACTTACCCTACCCTACCCTACCCTACCTACCCCTACTCCTACCCTACCCTACCCTACTCCTAACTTACCCTACCCTACCCTACCCTACCCTAACCTACCCTACCATACCCTACCCTACCTTACCCTACCCTACCCTACCCTACCCTACCCCTACCCTACACTACCCTAACCTACCCTACCCTACCCTACCCTACCCTACCCTACCCTACCCCTACCCTACAATTCCCTACCCTACCCTACCCTACCCTACCTACAATCCCCTACCCAACCCTACCCTACCCTACCCTACCCTACCCTACCCTACCCTACCCTACCCTACCCTACCCTACACTACACTACACTACCAGCGACAGTCCAAGTTTCAGCTAAATCGGCCCAGAAACGGCTGAGATGTTGCAAAAATAAATTAACTGTATTTACTGGCAAATCCTCTTGGCGAGCGGTGCCTTGTGTCGGCCTTCGTTGTCAAAGGTCAATGACCTGCCGGCCCACTCAGTTTTTTAAGCGAACAACTGAGCCTAAAGCACGTGCCCTCTGCTCGGCGCCGGTCGCGGCCCCACCACGTGCACACCGCTGAACCCACCCCCTCGAAAATTGAATACGACAAATGAGTGCACGCGTCCGACTTGCAGTGAAAATTTCACCCCCGTAGCCCTTACCGTTCCCGAGCAATAGCGTGTTTTTGCCTATTCTAATGTTAACCCTATGGGCACGCGAGCACGCGCCAAGGGCGCACCCCCGGCCGCATCATGTCCAAAAGTTAATACGAGCTACGTGTAAAGGTGGCCCACATCGCTGTAAAATTTCACGGCCGTAGCTCAACGGACGCCGCCGCAATAAGCGCTACAAAGTGACTACGTCGCACACGGCGGCGGGGTACTTTTTAGGATTTATAATATAGATACTAAAAACGAGATCAGAGGCCTGTTTCACTAACAAATAAAACTTGTATTTACAAAGAAAAAGCTTGAGTTTACAAGAAATAATTACCAACATTTGAGATTTGGATTTCACGAAACCTTTGAATATGAATTTTGAGTTTAAAATTTGCAAACTTTTTTACAAGAAAAAGTTTGCAAGAAAACATGGGAATCGCAAACTTTCTGTTTCACGAAGACCAGAAACTTGAAAGAAAACATCGTAATTACAAATCTGAAATTCCAGTGGTCCTGACGTTCGGAATTTTGATACTTTTTGTGCAATAATGCAAAACAGTCATATATTTAGAACAACTATGCTTTGTTGAGTCGTTTCATGCTCAATTTTTACTTAGCACGCACCCTAAGATGCAAAATAATCGGTATTAAAATATCGTCAAATTTTGTCATTCGCGCGCCATAATTGCATTCAACAGTCTTCTGCTGTCAAATGTTTTGCGTGTTATTTTCTTACAATAATAGGACAATGTGAATTATCATTTATATCTTTTTCCAACAGCATCATTAAATATAATTTAATTAGGCAGCTTTTGACATGAATACTAGACAATATTTGATACAAAGAAGCAATATCTTTAACATGCTATAGTTCTTGATTAAAACATTTTTACTGATTTTTACTGTTTACAAGTTTATTTGCAAACATTTTCTTATCGGAGGTGCCACTGGCGATGAAGCTTAGTGAAATCGGTTTTTACGTAGTTGGTAAAAATACTTATGAATTGTAAACTACAAACACTTGTAAATACAAGTTTTTAGTGAAACAGGCCTCAGAAGGTACTTGAAAAGGAAACAGTATTTGCGCACACGCGACAAAACAATAGCGCACTTGGGCGGAGACGCCGCAACTAAATAATGTGCCGGTGGGCTGCGCGGCACCACAGCTATACTGGGCTGCGCGATGGCAGAATCGTAAGGATAGGGTAGGTGGAGGCTACGGGACCGCAGGACAGGAGTAACTAGTGATGGTGTTGGGAAGGGTAACAGCAGAGCGGCGACTGTGCGTTGTGCACTGCGTATGTCCACAACCCCCGCTTATGTAACGGGCGTGGTCAGCGCAATTGCGACCCGGCTGTAAAACTAACGCATTGTGCATATTCACCACTGCACGTTGAATGAATTCGTTGAAAGCGGCGGACCAAATGTTTTGTCTGACAGGTCATTGTTTTGACCAATTTTTCAGCGTGACACACAAAACGCACAATTCGCACAAAAGGACGGGCAGCGCTTGCGGGGACAGTTGGAACTCATTTGGCTGAACTTGGGATAGGCAAAAACCGTAGGGGAGAGCGGGGAGAGTTGTATCATGTCCAAGTTGTATCAGGGCGAATTGCGCCAAATTTATCCAATAGATGACGCTCGTGACACGACCAGCCGACGAGGTTTTCCGGGCGCCATCTTTCCCTGTTCTGTCGTGTGGCTGGGTGGACGCGTCTCGAGGTGAGAGCCGATTTTATGTTTTTTTTTTTAATGCCATTCTAAAAAAATAAGTTGCAAGAAAATGTGTGTTTTGGGCATTTAGATGTGCACGAATTTGACAGATCTCCGTAGCGGTGGTGAGGGTAGGTTCTAAGGCTGCGTGAGTGAAAATGGATTTCTCCAGCTGTCCGCTGTTATTGAGCACGAGGATGTTTTTTTCCAAGATGGCGGCGAGGTACATGTTGTATCAGAGCCGGGTGGGGTGTGTTGTAACATGTATATATGTATGTATGTATGGGTATGTTGCTTTTGATCGCGAAAGCTAAGCCCTGGCTCGCGTTTGTAGGTAGCTAGTTAATACTCGTTCCATTTCGGCACAATGTGTTGGCTTCTTTGCTCTTAACGGGCCACTTTTGCGTCTAGTCTGTTGATGTTTCGTGCGTTTCAATGTTTCGTTCGGATTGACCTAAGTTTGGTCTAATAAAAGTGAAGCCTTTGCGCATATACATTGTACTAACCCCATTTAATGTTGTTGTTATGTTCAAAACCAGTGGCAAGCATACTGCTTGAAACGTGAAATAGTGATACAAATTACCCCACCATGTGATACAACTCACCCAAGCCATGGGGCAAGTTGTATCAAAAACATTGTTCTATTCGGCAGACTGTAGAAGAAAAACTGGTAGAGGTAGCGGAAAAGTTTCTTTGCACAAAAAAGCAGAAGAATCAAGGAAGGAGATAGTATGGAAATAATGATTTTATCACGGATGGTTACGAGTTTATGGGTCTCGGAGTAAAAACTGATACAACCCACCCCACTCTCCCCTACACATATTGCAACTATTGTTCATCATTTTTAGCCATGTTTCTCTTATGCAACTGCGGTGCATGCATGATATATCATCACGGCTCACATACCTTAAATCTACATTTACATAATATCTGCTCCTCGCGAAACCGTCCAAAATGTGCCCGCAGTCGCATCGTCCTGCGAGCGATGCGGACCGACTGTTTCCCTGGCCCTGGTCCCCTGCTCCCCTGGTCCTTTTGGTGTCTGAGGAGCTCTACTCGGAGTAGAGCTGCCGAGCGACCAGCGGTCGCGTGCCCGCCGCCCGCCGCGCCCCTCAGGCGCCTGCCGAGTCCGGGCGCGTTTTCACACGCTCCTCATACACATTTATCGGATGATCAGGTCGGATTTTAGCGCTTTATAACGTTTCTCGCCACCACTAGACCGGTTACAACAGCAGAAAAAGCTGCTGGGCGCCGCCCCCCGCCGGCCACTGCCTCTCGATTGCCCCACAGAAGGCACCCGGTCGACAAAAACTGAATAATACCCAGCCGACGGACAGCGGCGCAAACACGGCTACAGAAACCGGCCGCGCCATCAAAAGCTCATTCAGGGTGATAACACCCTTCCGCGGCACACATGCCGGTGACAGCGCTAAAAAATGTAGCCCCGCAACCATTGACGTGGGATGAGCGCGTCGAGAGGGTTTTCAATGGGCCTCTTTGATCGGTGGTCGCATTGACTCGCGCCGGCGGGAGGGCGGCGGCGGCGGCGGCGGCGGCGGCGGCGGCTCTGCTCCCGGCCCCGCCCGCCAGGGTCGCCATTCAATGACGTCATACGGCCTGTAGTAGCTCCAGGGGAACAGACAAACTAGCAGCCCTAGGCAGGGACGTAGCCAAGGGGGGGGGGGGGCACCGGGGTCATTTCGCCCCTAATAGCGAAAAAAATAACTAAAATAAAATATAATAAAAAATATAATAAAAAATAAAATAAGATAAAGAAAATAAAACAAAAAAGTAAATACAGCTGCGCCAGACTCCCAAAAATAGTGGGCCGAATCCGAGGAGTTTTCCTTTTTGGAGGGCGTACCACACTAGGCCGCGACCTGTGGCCCCTCCCTGAGCAAAATCCTGGCTACGTGCCTGGCCCCAGGGCAGCGTAAGGCATCTTGGTGGACGCCTTGCGGTGGACGCGACACTGGGTAGCGGATTTATAAGAGACGGGATGGTAAAAGTTGCGGTCTACTTGCTGAGAATCAGTTTGTGTGCATTCACATTTAGCCACTGCATAGGACAATGCCAACACGACAGTCACGGCGAAGTCAAAGGAACAATAACATTTTTGTTTTATATAAGGCCGCATTCTTTGGGCGCTGAATATCCCTGTTGGATACAATGTGTCTGTTTGGCGTCTCCTTATTGGCCGTTTCTGAGCGTGGAATCTCTCGGATCCATCTGATCGATCAGTCTGTGAACGCTGCCGGCACCCCGACTGAAGCCGGTATAGCTGACAGATATATGTTGTCAGGCCGTGAAGGAAACAGATCCTTCATGAGCTGATAATCTGCGGTGACACAATAGGCCACTAAGGTGTTAATGTCAATAATCAGACAAAACTTGGGCTGCAGCGCGGCTGGCTAAGTGATAATGCGACGCGGCTGTGTGATAAGCGGTTACAGAGGGCCGCGCGGCGCGGCACTGACAGGTGAACCATCGCTGGTCTGGTCGGAGACGGCGGGCGCCGGCGAGCCGCACAGCGCTGCCGAACTGCAGGTGCCTGACGGACAGACAGCCGGCCCTTCAGAGATGGACACCCGTGACGGGCGCTGATTGACACTCCTGCGAGCCTGGCAACGACTCAAACGACGGAAAAGGGATTAAAACGAGTGGGAGAGTTTGGAGACGGCTCACGAAGTCTAATTTGAACTTGAAGACCCGGTCACGCGTGAACACTATTACAGAGCTGCCACCAGACACAATGGTGCGTGTGCAATTGTTATAAAGATCATGGCGAAGATTTGATGAAGGCGTGGCGAATCGTGCAAAAGCCACCGTTTGGATTGATGACATATGTCGCTGACAATGACAGGGCGCGGATGCGACTGCTGTCGTACTCGGTTTAATGACACAGAACACTTGTCAGACAAAACCCTGTGTCTAATAGGTAATGCCTGCACGCATGAAAACGTCACCACTTAACACGCCGGGTGCTGCAAATCAATGTTGTAGTTATACATTTTGTATGTTCGTTTATATAGTATATCTAAATGATGATTATAAACACCAATTCAAATTTGGCAGTAATTTTGTATTCATTTTAAACACTACACTGTCATCGCCCGGTAAGAAAACCTATATATTAGATAGATAAAAGCTGTTGACATATAACTACGTTGTCGGCTGAATGCTTTGAAATAGTCAACATGAAAAAATTGTGCTTTTCCATAACGTGGAAACTGATCACGCTCTGATAAAAACTTCATTAATTTCATGGCAGTTGGCACTTTCAACTCCTTTGACTTGCTCGGCGTCAGCGGCCGTGGTCATCGCATTACGCATAAGAGCTTATAATTCTGCACCCTAGATGGCGCTAGCGGTCAACGCCTGAAGGTAGACTGTGCCGCACTACTTCGGCAGCGCCAGCGGTAAACGCCTGAAGGTATACTGTGCCGCACAACTTACATTGCGCCAGCGGTAAACGCAGGAAGGTAGACTGTGCCGCACTACTTCGATACATCAGAAGCGCTTTGAAGTCTAGTTAACTAAGCACTTCAGTGAAAGTGTGTGATGAAAATAACACATTTTCTCTTTTATATCCATTTTCTCTTTTATATCATTTCATTAGATATTTAGTTTACATTGTAAGCATTGATTTGGTACATAAAGTTAGCATATGCGTAAATAGGGAAATGATACAACTGTGCGAGGGGCCGAAAGGGGGAGACTGCATCTGTCGTCGTGCTAGCTTCTTTCTTGCTTCGAAAATTATGTTCCTCTGTATTTTTGAGGTTGCTAATACACTTAATATATATCCCGTTCCGTCCATTTCATTTCAAGCTGTAGGTATATTGTATATTGTATATTGTATAACCAGTGCCGTCCCATCGCTGGCTATATAACACGTGTCCCGTAACACGTGTCCCGTAACACGTGTAACACGTTGTCCCGTTTCAGGCTGTGTATATCCATACCTTCCGTTCGTTACGGTCTGTATAACCAATGCCTTCCGTTCCGTTGCAGATTATACAACACGTGCCGTCGGTGCGGCCGCCAGTTCTCCAGTCCCTGGGAGCTGGCCGTGGTGGCCCCGACCGTCCCTCCTCGCCGCTACCACCCGGGCTGCTTCAGCTGCGGCCTGTGCCGGCGCACCATGGTTCGCCACGAGCTGTTCGCCGCCGGTCCGGACGACGTCTACTGTCCGGCCCACGCTGCGGCTGGCGGCGGCGCGGTGCCGCCCGGCGCCCTGCCGCTGCCGCCCGGCGCGCTGCCCGGCCAGCCCAGCTATGTGCCGCCGGGGAGGCCGGGCCGCGGCCGCCGCAGAGGCGCCAGGAAGACAGGTCAGTCGGCAGGGCCGGGTGTGATAGAGGGGTGGGAGCAGCGGCCCTCAGCAGTGAGCGGCGATGGCACGCTCAGATTGTCTCGGCTCAGTGGTTTCGGTTGATTGGTCCGTTGGGTACGGACTGAGCTCTGGTTAGTAGCACGACTGACAGGTTTTGCACCAAATGACACCAGCTCAATTCATTCGTGTCTGTATCTAGACTAGACGACAACTACTTATGACGTAGGCGGGGACGTTATGTTTTCCAAGGACAATAGTTCCTGGTCGAGCTATAAAAATATGAAACACCTCAGCTCAGGCCAGTGACAATAGCCATGGCTCGTCGCGGCTTGTACGACCCCGGCAGCAAACATCATAAACATACGATGAGACGGCTAAACAAAAGATAACATTTCTGTTAAAACGCGGAACAGCTCGATATACAGGCATAATGACAACAGTCTAGCTACCTAACAGCAATATAAAAATTCATTTCCGTTTTCGTGCATATTGCACGGATCACATCTTCAAAGAAAATACCGCACGAACTCTATTCCTTATAGGTGGATATGAACATATATTGTTTGGCATATAAAACTATATTTTAAACTGTCAATGCATAAGAGTCCAACTGTCCCCAAAATTGGAGTGCTTTTATTTTTTTGTTATTTGGTAGTGAGCAATTGAATTATGCTAGCTTCACAGTGTTAAAATTTGGTCTTGACTGCTACTTAAAAGCATAACTAGCACTTGTTCAGTTCAATGACAAGCTCAATCCATTCGTGCTTAAAAAATTGCTAGCACTTATGTCCCTTGATTGTAACGCTCCCCGGTATCCACTAGCCCGTTTATTTTAGCGTCCTACCGAGGCCGCTACGTCCTCCCAGAACCCTCGCCTTTAGCTGCACTGCTCACAGTTCTAGGTAGTGCCGCGTATCTATCAGTCGCTGGTCAGTGAGCCGAGCGAATATCTCCCCGCTTCCGTCATCGGCAGCGCTCTGGGGAGTATAGCCCCGATCACTGTGAACATTCCAGGGTACCACTGTGGTGGGGGAGCGACAGCGATTCTGTGATGTGTGGGGACTGACTGCTGGCATTCCTACTGGGACAGAGACGGCTGAGCAGCATGGCCGATTCTACTACATGACTTCGGTCGTCGCCGTCGTCTTCGTCGGTCCTCTCAATTATATGCTCGTAGGATCAATCGAGCTGACTACCGAGCGGTCTTCTTGATGGTTCCGACCTGACATGTTGGCCCGTACGGTCTCTTCCGCTAGTCCATAGGGGTGCCCGTTGGGGGTCCGAGCGATACGGGGTCGGCCTTGGGGTGCTCAGTGGCGGTGCGGCGCCAGTTGCGTGCACAGACCGTGAAGAACCACTCAGCCAGCAGCGTGGAACAACGCTGCACCGCCGCCGCCCGAGCTGAAATTCCCCGGGCGCAGGCAACTGCTATCGTGAATTATGTCTTATAGATGTTCCTGTTTTACTGCCGCCTTATCTAGAAGCGCCATGCATTAAGTCCTTTTGGAGCGTTTACTGACCACAGCGATACCTATATTACCCGTGGGCGACTTTTGACCACCACGGGTATGCATGGTAAGTTCAAAGGCGCGCAGTGCCAGGATGATTAATAGTTAAGTATCGTGCCATGCTCGTACAGGATTGGATCGACAAAAGGTTTTTTCTTTATTTCGTCGTAGCTGTCTTTAGAGCGCTACCGTGGAATAATGACGATTTGAGCAGAGCATGGTTTGATTCGGGTCACGTGCTGTTGGCATGAATTGATTGTACATTAACGTGCAGTTCGCTCCAACTTGAACTAAGAACGGTGACCCCTCCGCTCCCCTGGATCATACACTCCGTCCCTTCTCGATCTATTCTTTCGCTCGCTTCCACCGCGCTCTTAATCTGAGCTGCCGGCGCCAAGGGGTCCCTAGAGTCCCGTATAAAAACGCAGCTATAAAGCAAACACTGGTCATCATCCACCCCGCAAACAACGTCGCCACCTCTGACCACCCAGCGCTGTGAGGGATGCGATGACACGTCAGCCACCGAGCCCTCTCAGTGCTGGTGCTGACCAGTCTGTGGCAGAGGCGCCAGGTCCCGCCGACCCCGCGAGGAACGCACTAGGAACAGCCCCCCCCCTGCAACCCCCTCTGCGTGTCTGCCGCGCATCAGTGCCGACTGTCATAACAGAGTGCCCCCGTGTGACGGCGAGCTGCCACTCATCCTCTGTCACAGTCGACCCGCCGCTCCCTCACCCACCCACCCACACACGCGCGCGCCGACCCTCGTAACGGATGGGCGGAGTCAGAGTGGGCGGAATTAATGAAGGCAATAGGGCATCAGCTATTTTAGGTTTTCCCAAGATTTTAGTTCCAATCGTTCGTTTCATTTTGGTTTGATGTAGCATTGAAGAACGCTGGAGAACTGCAAAATTGTAAATCAAGTTTATGTGATATCCAGCGCCATAAATCCTAAATGAATATTTGAGGGAAAATTCCATGCGCAATTCGAGACCTTTCGAATGCCTAGCAAGAAAAGCCTGCAGTTCTGCGTAGCGTTCTGTCCAGAAGCGCTGTCTCGCGAGGCTTGGCAGTGTGTTGGGACGCCGTGGTGTGACCGTCCGCCTCTGTCGCTCGCCGGTGCAGCTACCGCTCGAACCGACCCCGGGCCGACTCTGTTTATATCAAACAGTAGCCGAAAAAGTGCCGTCCGACTGCCGACCGTATCTGCTGCCGTCCCGTGACGTCACGCCCTGCTCTCGGTGATGGGCCGCAGGGCTGGCGGGGCCGCCGTCGGGCCGTGGCGGCCGTTTACAGGGCCCGATAGCGGCGGGTAACTCGGTGGCACTGCGCCGCGTCAGCTCCAGGCGTCTGCAGCAACTGTGCCGGACGCCAGCCGCCCCGGCCGCAAATTCCCAATAGTGCTACACGCTACGCACAGCCCAGGCGGGTGACGTCACGGTGTCGTCACTCGCGTCCGGGGCATGCGCATGGGGGCCCGCTCGGCTCTGGAGGCGCCGGCGGCAGGCGGCTCAGAGAGATCTGCACGGCAGATGGGAGCGGGTTCCGAGATGTGCACGGCCGATGGCAGGGCTCGAAGACCACTGCTCTGATGCCTTTAATAGTCAAGTACACTGCGAACGATTTATCGGGTACCTATATCCGACGCAGAAGTTGCGGCGAAAGAAGAGTTGAAAGAGTAGTTGAGGTAGAAGAACAGTAAATTTCAAGCCCAGCGGCGTATTTAGAAAAATCGCGAAGGGGGGGCAAGGGTTTGGAGGGCGCCACCTCACCCCAGGAGGGCGCTATACGGTCGCGAGATAAAAATCCGCTCAGCGGGAGGGGGGGGGGGGGGGGGTGGAGGCATTTTTTTACCACGCCACCAGTGACTTGGTATGGTAGGTTACGCTGCATTGATTTGGCATCGTGTGTATTTTGTTTTTACTCCAGGCCAAAAAGGTCAAGTCACCCGCTCAGCTTAAGTGGCAATGCTTAAAACTTTTTTTTTAAGTTAGAGCACTTGACATGACCTGACGACCTTGCTTTTAGCGACTATGGTTTGCATTTTTACAGCACGTGTAAGAGCAATGTACCAAAAGGTGTGCCCCTCCCGCTCACCCACTTCCCTCTCTCCCCGAGGAAAAAAAAAAACGGAAGCTCGTAACGTAGTGGCACCTTTTTCGGATCTTTTTTAACCGCATGTCTGAAGAAACCTCCTGGCGCGGGTTCATCTCAAACGTGACAAAAAGGTTGCAAGTTATTGGCATAGGTACTAAGTTCCTAGTAAAGAAGAGATGGTGAAATGCTGCGCCGAAGGCGCGCGAAATTTTTGAAAACAACCTTTTCCTCCGCTTTTTAGGCACATCTTTTGCGTGCTCACTGTTCAAAGCTCTTCCCGCTCTTTTACCAAATTTGAAGGTGTAAAAAATACCTAAGGTTTGGTGGGGCCGATGCCACACAAGCTGTATAGAAAGCTTCGCCCATGGGTGACGATGTAGAAATTTAGAAAAGTTTATTGGCGGTGGCATACACACCGACACCAGATCACCATATCGGATTGATACCGGAGCGCGAGGTGCGTAAACACAAGCGCACAACGAGAGGGCGGCAACAACAGAAAGAGAAACCATAACAGAGCTGTTCCTCATGAGATCGATTAGTCTTCTCGGGCTTCTCATCCAAATTACCTCGACCAGCCCTCTTGACCTTCTCACAGATGCATACAGTGTTGAGCACCTTCAATCACCGAAACTTGGACGCCAATGGGTAGAAGGGCGGCGATCAAAAGGGGGGCGCCAATAGGTAAGAAGCCAGAAGGCTCCGATCAACAATCAACAGGAGGGTGCCACCATGGGTGAGAGGGCGGCAAGGAACAGGAGAGCACCAATAGATAGGAAGGTGGCGATCAACAAGAGGACGCCAATGGGTAGGAGGGCGGTCATCAACAGGAAGTCGCCAATGAGTGGAAGGGTGACTATTAACAGGAGGGTGGCAATGGTGAGGAGGGCGCCTTTGCCCGAGGATGACATTGAACAGGAGGGCGTCTGTGAGGAGGGCGCCGATTTAACAGGAAGGTGCCAGTGGATAGGAGGGCGGCGATCAACAGGAGGGTGCCAGTGGTTAGGAGGGCGGCGATCAACACGAGGGCGCCAATAGGTAGAAAGGTCCCGATTAGCATTCAACAGGAGGGACTAGGAAGTAGGAAACCAATAGGTAGGAGGGCGCCAATGGCTAGAAGGGCGGCACTCAACAAGAGGGTGCCAAAAGGGAGGAGGGCGGCCCTAAAAATTTCACATGAGGGCGCAATAGATAGGAGGGCGCCAATAATTATGAGGGCGCCGACCAGAAGAATGGTAGCAATGTGTAGCAGGGTGGCGACCTACAGGAGGGCGCTTTCGGGTGAGAGGGCGTCTATTTACAGGAGAGCACCAATAGGTAGGAGTACACCGATCAAATGAGGGCACCAGTGGGCAGGAAGGCAGCGATCCTATAGGTAGGCTTACGTATCCAGTCGCGATTGTTTTTCGATTCGATTCTATCACAATGGCATTCGCGATTGGCATGGCCCAGTGCCCCCCTGCCTACGCCCCTGTTCAAGCCAGTTTCTGAACTCTTCTCAGGTTTTGACGTTACATCTCAAAGTGAAGGTTGAGGTATCATCTTTGCAGTTCACGTCGATGTTTGAAAAGCCTGAAGATTCACATTTTTCCGAAAAAAAAAACACATCCTTTTCCATCTTGCACCACAGGTACAGAAACAACACCACCCAAAAATCCAACACAAATTACAGTCTAATAGGTGTAACACCAACACGGCCTTCAATTCCAACATCCAGCGCACTCGGCCAAGGCCATCAATCAATGCCGTAATAAGCCCTTGAATTCGCGCCTTAGGTCCGCGTGTGATTCGTGCATAGACTCGTATATTGTCGTCATAGACTTTCCTTAACCTGTATCTGAACTAGCGAATAGATTTCCACCTCGTCTGACTATTGGCTGATGGATGTGACGTCACATAACCCCCAGGCCAATGAGCGTAGGCGTCAGGTTATGACGTCATCTCCCGCGAAAACCAGCCAGTCAGCGCTGGAGGTGCGTAGCGTGTAGCATAATTGGGAATTTGCGCCCCGGCCGGCCTCAGGGGAACCGGCGGACGGCCGCTCCCCGGCACGGTATACCACCCGTATGGGTCACCGGGGGGTGGAGCAACGCGCCTGGCCGGGTCAGGTTCCCAGATATGTCCAGATGTCCCAATCGAACCCATACCGAGCACGGCAGCTTCTGGACGACGCGTTCTGGCATCTCACCGATGGTGACTGTCGAGCACGCACGTGTGTCTCAGTACCACGGTTTAATGCTTTCCAGACAACTGATGGAAGTGCCGCGTCAGCAGTAAATGAGCAGTTCCAGCGACCTTTTTTACACATGTTTTGCCTGCCGATTTGAAATGTTTCCAAACATCACTGCCCGGTGTTATATGTCGCTTTTACAAATGATCTATTATGCTGAGGGATGCCTCGAGTAAGCTCGGACATTGACTTTGCGCCTGTCGATTGTTGAGCCGACTTTTCGACTGTTCCTTTACTTGATACCATGTATCACGAAGGATGGAGCTGCCTCAAAGAAGCGAGACTTGTTAGTTATCTGAAAGTAAAGGCTTCCGTTTGCCTAAGTTAATGTGGCTCCAGTTTTTTTTTCTACATCTCCGGTCTTTCCGTAGGTACAGGGAGCGTTTGCAATCAGATGACTCCGCATAGCTTTTTTTAACACACCAGCCCACGTTGTCAACCCTTGATCGTCTCATTTGTTCCCATGGGCCGGCAAGGGTAGCATTTGCCCGTGACTTGCCTCTTATCACCATCTTTTCTCAAGCGAGACTGCCAGTGACCAATGACCTTGCTGATCAATGACTATCGCTACCGGTGACTGCAGTGACCTGACCTAACACCTCTCCTCTCCGTTGGGATACGGCCAGCAGTGACCTGACCTGCCTCTGCTCCCTCCAACAGGAGCGCGACTACCGGCAGAGCTGTCCGAGTCGCGGAGGAAGCGACATCGGATCCAGTTCTCTGCGCAGCAGCTGCGCGAGCTACAGACTTCGTTCGGAGGAAACCCGAACCCCGACTCCAAGGCCATCTTCGACCTGGCCGGCCGGCTGGGCCTCGGCAAACAGCATGTTCAGGTATGCGGCTCCGACGCGCGCGGCAGACGGGTGAGGGAGGTCTGTCGATGGAGAACAGGAGGTCACGGGGTGTTCGGCGGTCAGTTCGTGCCATGTTCATCCCGCTGTCAGCTGTCCGTGGCTAGTTGTCCGGTGGTGGCTGTGGCCAGTCGCCGTGGTCGGCTTTGGTCAGTCCCTGGCCGGTGGACAAACCGCGGCGGGGCGGCGTGCAATGGCTGTGTTTTGGTGACGTCAGAGGCGGCTGACTGACAGCAGGGGAGGAGCATCGGCAGTGGAGCCAGCCAGCCGTGTACCGCCAGTAAATATTTGTAACCGAGCTGGCCTGCGCAGTGGCACCAGAACCCCGGAACGCAATCTAACTCGGCCGTGGCGGCCGGGTGCCACCAGACAGACTCGGACAGACATTTCCATCGCCACACAGCGCCACCGAACAGACACGGAGAGACGTTTCCATTGCCACACAGGGATAGCACAGACTCGGACAGACGTTTCCAGACGGGCTCGGATAGACATTTCCATCATTATACATTGACAATACAAAATTGGACGCCAGAAATTATAAGTCTGAAATGCTTATTAAATTCTTCTTCATCTGATCAGAGGCTGCATATAATAAGTTTGAATTCAGGGCGTGGAGAGGAGGGGTAATTCGGCTGCAGCGCTGAAGGGTGTGCCATCGGCCCTCGCTGTTCGCCTTCTGCCACAACGCTGGTGGACATATCATCGCTGTGCCGCCCAAGATTCCCCTAGATAGTGCCACTGCAGCCCCGTCCTCCACACCGAGCGCTCTCGTCCAACATACCCGGCCCAAATCGCCCACCTTGGGCCGCAGACCAGAAAAATGCGGCGCTGCTCCGCGCCGCTGCTGAGTCGTGTCGTGCGCGTTACTGTCGTGACAAGCTTATGTCACTGTCAATGTCATGTCGAATGTCTCAGAACAGCGGCGACCGGCTGCTGGTTCTGGAAACTGAATTAGAGGTGTCGAGAGTGTCTGTGTTCCTGAGATTCTTGCGTGGTACAATCAGCGCAGGAAGCTGTTAGATAAACTACATACAAGCACTGCTGAAGTCGCAGAACACTGACTTAGAGTGCCGGTGGGGTTAAATAACACGAGACTGGCCTAAAGTGACCCGTATGTGCCGTTGCCGCTCGCCTTGTATAGCTCGCTATGATCCTCGTTGCAGTTGTTTGTAAAGTTGCATCCTGCAAAGAAGATTTATGTGGTTTTTGACTTCGCCAGCGAACTCGCGGCAAATCTGCTGCACGTTCTCAAATCTGACAAGAGAAACAAATGTGTTACCATGGTAACACCAGGTGGGTCGATAGCCGAACACATTGGATAACAACGTTCTGCCGAGGCTTCTGCCGACCACCCGTTCGTGGCGCCGCAGGATGTATCTCGGAGAACAGTAGTGTTGCAAGGCAAGCGGCTAGCTGCAGATTAAATGCAATTCTGCAGCTCTGTGTGATGTGAGAAGACCAGTGAACTGAACGCACAAATGGTTACCTTGCCACCTGTGATCATTGCAACAGGGAACTGGCACTTCCCCCTCCGGTTCAGCTTGGAACGGCATCAACTTCTGAAATAAATAACGGACAGCTTATGAGTTTGGAAAGGCCTTTTGAATCAAACGCATTGTGATAATAATCGCTTTCAAAATTCGGTTGCGATTTTCCCATTATTTATTGTTGTATTTATTTTATACCGTGTACGATTTTTAGGGGTTTACTCGAGTGACAAGTCGCAGCATCCCCTGAGATTCACTGGCCGATTGCGTTCCGTACAGAGTCGGCAGTGTCCGATCAAAAATAAAAAAGCTAACAGCGATCTGTCCACACTGCAGTGCAGCAATTCAATTCTCGGGACCAGTGGTCCGTTGGATCACCCGACACCAGTTCCTATATCAGGAGCAGCAGAGAATGAGACCAGCGTTGTAGAAATGCTCCCTAATGGTGGACCGACCTGACCTACCGTCAGCTTTGTAAAACCCATTTCGTTAAAGTGCGGAAAAATTTGTAGGTGCTGTTAAACGGCATCTGCAGCAAATCGCTGGGAATTCAACGTCAAGCGCCAATCGATTAGTTTCATTTCTGGTGAATGGATAAGATCCAACATATCTGAGCTAAACATATCGATTCTCGGGCTCGCTGACAGAGCAGATCAGTCTGATTCCTGCGCCGGCTGCAGCGGCAGCAGCGGGCCCTATCAAACGGTCCATCTCGCGCTGTTCGGCGTCGAGCGGCCCGCCTCCGGTCCGTTGTGGCCGGTGTGAGCGCTGCCACCGGCCTATTACCGATATCTCGCCCATCCGATTCTTTTCTGTCGGCCTCCACGTATTTGTGAGCTGCAAACGAGTCACCTGGCGCGAATCGGTGCGAGCCGCGGAGGAAAAAAATAGCCGATTAGCTGTAACCAGTTTAGGCCACCATCGCGGACCAGTGCAGTAGGGTGGGATGTAGTGGGCACGTCGTTACTGAAGGGTGGAGACCAATCGTGGGGGCGAACGGTGTGGCAGTTAAGTAATACAGTGTTTCGCTGCATCGAGAACCTTGGACAAGAATCGTCCCTCGACGACATAGGTCGCAAATATTCCTATTCAACGGTGCCCAATGTTTTCTGATGAATCACCGTGTGCGATCCATATTTGCCAACGGCGTTCATGCATGTAGCATGTAGATGTAAGATAGCTTTATTACACGCTTATGCCACCATCTTGACGGCATTAACATGAATAGTGGCTAGGTCGCTGTGGGATCCTGCGGTTTTCCGTCCCGCTGAACACATACATGGAATTGCTAATGTGCCCGCCGCGTGCCAGCGAGGTGACGGCAGACGAAATCCCACCGAATAACGCGGCGACCGACACGGGTGATGCAGCAGACACGACTGACTTAGAGGTCGTGTCTACACGACTGACATGCTGACATGAATGACATACTGACACAGCTAATATTACGTCACAACTTATATGACTGACACAGTGGCACGACTGACCTATCACTGACATGGTTGACACGACTGACATGCTTCGTGATAAATTGTCGATGGCAATATTTTGTCTGAAATCTGAAGATCGTTCAATGCTAAGCAATTTTTGAAGCGATTCATGTCACAACACTGCTCAGCTTGTAAAAAAGCAATGACTCGGCCATTAAACAAATGCGGAGTTCCAAAATTTTAGTTACTTACTGCGAGATGTCAAATATCTGGTCATTCGGTAGCTATACGATTAGTCGTGTTTCTGTGAGCGTAGTTTCTTTCCACGTATCGATTATGCTATGCGAACATTCTAATACGTGGTTCCCTGCATGCCAGATATATGTCTCGTCCTAACAGCGTGGTTCCCTGCGTTACAGGTGTGGTTCCAGAACCGTCGAGCCAAGGAGCGGCGGCTCAAGTCCGAGTCTCCCCAGTCCGAGTCGTGACAGCGCGGCGGCGGCTGTCCTGTCGGCTCTCTGCGAGCACTGCTGTGTACCTGAACCCGCCACCCTGGCTGTGAGTCGGGCGCCGCCCCGGGGAGGGACTGCCGACCAGCGAGGGCCGAAGAGAGAGAGAGTCCCCGGTGGCTGTCCCCGGCACGTGAGCCGCCTTCATCCGACCGGCCGCCGCTGCGCCGCTGTGCTGTTGTCTGTTATGTGAACTGATGTGATGTGGAACGATAGAGGTGTCGTGTCTGCCGGCAATGCGGCCAATTGTAAATCCAGGGAGGCGTGGTTTTGTTGAGATGGTGCACAGGCATCCATTGAATGGTAGATAAATTTAGAATCGGTTCAAGTGGGACTGAGCGAACCGCAGCAAGATGATAAAGACATAAGTGGGCCGACTTGTAATTTTGGCCAAGTTAAACGATATAGTCGATGCCTCTGTGTTCTGATATGAGGTGAATGTGAATGGTACCCGTGTCATTTATGCATAATGACTTATTTATGATAGCTAAATGTGGTCGCAATGCTTGCTTTGGGAAGAAATTTCAGTGTCACTTCAGTTAGCGAAAACATTTTTTAGGTATAACGCTTGACAATGCAACAATTATTTGCTCGGTTTTGTCACTTATCTACCTACTCTCATTCATCAAATTCCTCATTTTTACTTCTTTGGTAATGGCAAAAGTCCGGTCGGCAGCGGACTTATGGTATTTTGGACTTTTGGCAGCGTCTTTGGTAATGTTGACACTGAACCATGAAGATACCGTACTAGGGTACATTTATGCAATGTTTTCCATAAGTTCGACTTCTCATTATTTTAGAGCCGTTCACTAGCCGGGGACCAATAGCATAAAGCTCGCCTGGGTCGCTTTTCGTGTAATGCCTAGTGTTTTTGTTGGTGCATTTTCTCATCATTGTGACACCGGTCATGCTCTGTGTCTGATTTATGTACAAGGATGACGCTACGATCGTGCATAAATAATTGTGCTGGTAAGGTGGATGCCAATAAATATGCAAACGATATTGAGTGCAGGCTTTTGTGCCGAGGGAACTTGACTTACGATCTTATATATCAGTTTGTCGCATCCCAAATCAAGAGGAATTCTGAAGCTCCTGGATCCAAATTTCAGAAACATACATATTGACACTGTATGCCTGCGCTTTCAATGCGCAAAAAAGTCACGAATTATTGTCCCTGATTGCATCCAGCCTATTCTGTAGCGTCAACTGAACGGCTATTTCAAAATTCTGCTCTTCCTACGTGCAGTGCGTTATTTTTTTTTTTCACGCGGCTCTTCGATTGACACATCCCTTTACGAATTACGAAGGCCTAAAGAAGCCTGCAGTTGAAGTGTTCATACCCAATCGCCATGCTCATATCCGCATCAATCTCTCCACTGAGCTGCACTCGGCAGCCTCAAAACGAACCACGTAAATACAGCGCGGCCATATCTCAGCCACATCGGTGCACGTCTCTCTAATCCGTCGATTGGTGAAAACAAAACGGGTTCACGTTCCCACGTATATTTCTGTCGGTGATTGATATACCACACACATTCGGACAGCGGCGATTGACGGCTAGCTTTGGCAGCCATCAGGGGACATCGCGCGGAGGTAGAGCCGCCCCGCAACTCGGCGAGCTGCCGACCGGACCGGCAGCTCCATGCAGCTCGCGACAAGTGAGTGATTAATGCACCAGCTGTGAAGGCCCTGACAACACGGCAAATGCCTGGCGAGCTGGGCGAATTCCCTCTGTTAAACGCACGTCGCTTGTCCCGGCTCGCAGCGTCTCGTGTTGATTGACAAATGAAAGCTCGAAGCTCGTGAATATGAGTTTTAGTCTAAAAATAAGATAAGGTTATTGAAAGTGGGATTATTTCTACAAAAATAGCACTAAAATAATTAAGTCAACTACTTCAGCTAGTTGCTTCATTCGAAGTCGAAAGTTAGGTTGCACAAGTTGTTTCATTACTGAAAGGTTAATGATAGAAACACTGCCATTTCTGGCGGTGTTGTCACCATAACCACTTGTCAGACTGCGGGTGCTGTCACCGTGACCCCGTGTCAGACCGTCGCTCGTGTGCCGCCGGCGGGGCTGTCTGTGTCGTCGCCGGCGGGGCTGTCCGTGTCGTCGCCGGCGGGTCTGTCTGTATCGGCGCCGGCGGTGACGGATCACTGGAAGGCGCGTCTGCACACCGGCCGGCCGGCAGGGGTGCTGACGTCCCCCTCTGGACGCACCTGGCCCGGTGAGGGGGTGAGGCCACCGCGACAAAGGTCGGACCACGGGCGCCGGTAAGCGGCTGCGGCGCCCACCTCGGGCCGAGCTTCCGGTCCGGTGCGGAACTGCCGGCGCCCTCGGGTGCCGGACCCTCCCCCGGCTGTCAGCGGAGGTGGTGTCCTCTGTCCACCCCCATCCGCCCTCCCCCCTACCGCCACGGCACCGGAACTGAGCCAGTTCAGGATTAGAATCTAGAGCTCACCCCGCGCCGCACCGGCCGACCCGAGCAGGCTCACTATGCTGATAGTATCCGCCACAGCCAAACTGCAACTGGATAATTCACCGAGGTGGGCCGTGGGTCCTCGGAAGATATCATTCTCCGTCGGTGCTCTCCTGCAAAACAACTCGTAGATTTGTTTGATCAACGGTAGCGCTGGTTTGAATGAAACATGCGAGCTGTGTCATTCGCTGTACGAGCACTCGCAGTAGACCGATTGTTCAATATGCAATCGCCGATTGTTGTGAAATATCACAAGATGTCTAGATAGTCAGGGACGACCTTCTTGATCTGCCACTGATAAAAATTATTGATGAATACATATCGACCACAAGTGATCAGGTAGATGGTGAGTTAAAAAAAAAAACATTTGTCTAATTATGATCACAAACATCTCCCTGAGTCTGGACCGTCCAGCAGCACTGCTGAGCGCTGAGTGCAGACACCCACTACCACTCCTCCACAGCCAGGTGCGGGCCCCGGGGAGCACGGTGCATCAGCCGTGGACGGCCCTCCGTCAGCCGTCTGACCGCCGTGACTACCGTGACAGGCCGTGACCAGCCGTGACAGGCCGTGACGCAGCTGGCGGTGGGCCCAAGCCGTGTGGGGCAGCTGCCAGTTCAAGTGCACGACAGAAGGAAAACACAAACAGCTCAGAGCGGGTAGCTAAGGAATCCATAATGATCATCAGGCGTCAAAAATGATATCGCAAAACGTACGTCACACCTCACGGTCAGTGACTGCCGAGCAGCTTGTTCCCGGCCAGTTTCTGACCTAGGGTCTCGTAAGGCTGTGAACCTACCCTACCCCGACCATCGTTTTTGACCGACTTACCGCCGTCTCTGACCGCCTCTGACTAACAAACAGCTGTACTCTAATCCGTCTCTAGTCGTATCTGAATGACTGAAGGTCGTCGTTGACCGTCTATAACCGACTCGCCGCTGTCTATGACAGTCTTAAACTAACTGACCACCGTCACCGACTGACTGACAAACATCTCTGACCGACGCTCTGTAAAATCGGCCAGCAGCCTGCACCCTCCCGCGGCTCCCTGTCACCGGTGTGCCGTGAGGACGCAGAGTCGGCGCAGGTCTGAACCCCGTGAGTCGCCGTGAGCGGCGGCCCGGCCGGCGCCCCACTGCCCCCGCTGCGTCCTGTGGCCAGCCTGTCCAGCGAGCCCTCACATCCCGCCGCCAACCGGCGCCCACACCGGCGCAGCGCTGACGCGGCTCTTTTTGCACGTGCCGTTTTTGCCAGCAATGCCGCAGAATTTGATCGGGAGGGCACCAGTTGGCTCGCGCTGCCATTTTCACGGTCGGCCGCTCGCGGCGGATCGGATCCGGCGTGCGATAGCCGCCGACAGCGGAGGGTGACCGATGGACGCCCAGCCTGCCCCCGCCGCACTCCCCACACCGCCCCGAACGGGCACAAAAGCTGGCGGCCGCCAGCCCACTTCCACACTCCCTGCCGGAAATTAGCCAAAATAAAGATTCACTAATGAGCGGCGGTGCCGGCGGGGCAGCTAGCGCCACGGGCTAGCCGCCGCGATCTGCGGGTCACGCCCCCCCCCCCCCCTGAGGGCGGGAGGGGGCAGGTGTTAGCTCTGACACACAGCCTACCTCAGCGTGACTGACCGTTTCGGGGTGATGATTGAAGTGGTGGGTGCCCATTATAGTGTGATGGGCGGTGTGGTGTGGCCATGATTAAACATGACGCCATTAGTTAAATGATTACACAAGTGGTAGTCATGTGGTTTAAATGGATTTCGCTTTCATGGAATTAAATTGGGCATTATCGCAATGTTCACACACCATGAGCTTCATAAAGGGATGGGACGACGTGTAATTCATTTGTTACGGAGGGGTGTCCGCCATATCGAAATGATAGCCCTACAAAAATAAACAGACTGCCATGAATTTGATTGTTGAATGGAGTCAAGTCCAGCTAACGTAAGGTAGTGAGATGCAATGTCTTGGTTTGTATGGCTTTGCGGCGCAACTGAAAAGAGATGGATAAAATTGGCTAGAGGACGGTGGTCCCGGGTCCTACGACGAGTAGACAGATGTATACCTACGAGATATAGGTATTGGAAAAATGACATCGGGGTTCTAAAGGTCGGTAGGTATCGGAGATGCAGATCGCAGATCAGCCTTGAGTTAAAGGGACTATCCCACCTTTAACATGGGGTTTGAGTTGAGATAGCCAAGTTTGCGGCGAGGTTCAGAAACCACTATCTATCTAGGTTGCAACCCCCGCGTCCTCTTGGTGTTGAAGAAATTCGTTCCCTTCATTTGAAAATGGGCCTTGTACAAGGCCAGGGGGCTATCTTCAACATGGAGCGACCGTTAGTGTGACGTCACCTCGTTTAGTCATTCTGATTTAAATGGGTTTGTTCGTTGAAAAATCGCTTAAAACTTGGTCTGAACTTTGTTGTGGTGCCTACAGAGTAAAAAGAATCAGCTTTATGACAGTAATGTGGCCTGGGGAAGGAGGTAATTTTGGGCTGTGACGTCACATATTTGAAAGTTTGTGTTTGGAATATGGAAAGCCTAAGATGTTAAATGAAAAATAAATGCCAGAACCGTGTTCCTGGTCATCCAATCTATAAAGTCGGGCACAATTTAACTGGTTTTAACAACATTTTAGAAGGTGGGATAGTCCCTTTAAATCTGACTGAAATAACGGCAATGAACGTACCTATACCTACGCACCTTATTTATTGGCCCGACTACTCCATTACTTACGTTATAGGTGAATTTGCGAGAGAGGCAATGCTTTTATTAGCTAAACGCAACAAATAAAATAATGTTTAGAGCATATCTAATCATTACCTAAATTAAGGTAGATCAACGACAAACAGGTATGTAGGTATTTCCTTGCCAGAAACATTAAGTCTTCAAATGATAGGCACGCGGTCGTTCGCAGGGCATATGAAGAAAATATCCATTATCCTTAGAATTTAGATCGGTGAGGCATGAAGTCAGCATGTTTTTACTTTCTTACTCTGATTTTTTGCCATTTTAGCTCGAGATAACCCTGATAAGAATGGCAGCTGAAAAAAAATAGGTAAGCGGATGAGTGAGCTATTTTAAGCGAAATCACTTGCATACTCGAGGGCAGCGCTTTTCGAGGAGCGCTGTGGCCCGAAGGTTTGGACTTTGAATTGTGAAAAACGCCCGCCCGCCGGAAAACGCAAACACCGCAAAACGCGCAAAACGCACGCCCGAAACGCCAACGCAAACGTCGCAAAAAATAAACAAACGCCCGCCCGCCGCAAACCGCAAATAAAAAACGCAAAAACGCCGCAAAACAATAAAACCGCCCGCCAACCGCAAACAAATTTAACACCGCAAACGACGCAAAAAAAAGAAGAAAACCGCCCGCATCGCCCGCCCGCCCGCCCGCCCGCCGCCAAAGACAAACACCGCAAAAAAAACACAAAACGCCCACCCGCCGCAAAACGTAAACACCGCAAAACGTGTAAAACGCACGCCCGAAAAGCCAACGCAAACGGCAAAAAATCACCCGACCG